TTGATGCGGCTCACTTCCAGGGAGAGCAAGTCCACCTTGCTGTGCAGCTGGGACATGTTGGAAGTGAGAGTGTTGAGCATGTAGAACATCTTCTGGATCAGAAAGTAGATGTTGGGGTCGCCGTCAGTGGCTGTTCCTGAGGCCCCGCCACAGTCCCGCTTCTGAGGGTCGTTCAGCAGGCGCAGGGGGGAGGGACTGTTGCTGGCATTGGCYTTCTCAAAGAGCTCATAGGTGTTGAGCAGGTCCCCCACGGGAGGGTTCTTCTTCTCCATGATCTTATGCGAAATGCCATAGAGAGGCTTCTTGTAGGAAGGGGTGGTGGCATCGTTGCAGGGCTCCTCCTCCCCAGGCCACAGGGAGCCCACATTCCTGCCTCGGCCGGCCTGCTCTCCGTTGCCCTGGCAGGGCGAGCTGTTTTCGAGGTTCCGCATGCCTGCAAGGAGTGCCTGGAAAACAGAAAGGTTTCCCAGAGTGTTAGGCAGGTGCTCTGACTTACTAGACTGGACTCAGGCCAGCCACCCAGTCTGCTGTGATCAATGCTCCCCTCCCCCAACCATTAACACACAACTGTAACACAACTGCATGCCAGGGCCACACCTGCCTGTTCTCTCCAATCCCTGAGAAAGGGCTCAGGCTGGAAGGTGCACACTCCTTCAGGGCATCAGTGCTGGACTTCCTGTCCACAGGGCCCAACAGGAGAAAGAGCATGGATGCTGGCAAGGCCAGAAGAGGACTCTTCAAGGGATGGGAGGGAGAACTTGGGAATGAGGATCTCCAAAGATCCCAATAATTGAGGCCAAGCTGCATCACCACTTGGGAACCCAAAGTTCCTACTATTTTTCTCAGTGGTTTTTAGACTCTGGAAGTTTTAAGGGATCTGCTTCTCTCTGTTTGTAGGACTGGTGATTTGTTACAAAGATTCAAAGGCAATTTGGTGGAGAAAGGATAGTCTTTTCAACAAATGATCCTGAATAATCTGATATCCATATGCAAAAAGAATATCAATTTTAATTTGAGCCTCAGACTATGCACAAAATTAACTCGAAATGGATCATGAACCTAAATTAAAAACCTAGAATTCTAACATTCCTAGAAGAAAATTTATGAAAATTCCTTTGTGACCAGTTGTTTTAGACCAACATTGTTAGAGCCAACACCAAAAACACAATCCATAAGAGAACTGATGCACAGGACTTCAGCAAAAATAAAAACTTCTGTCCTTTAAAAAATGCTTCAAAAAAATTTTAAGACAGGGCTGGGACTGTAGCTACGTGGTAGAGCACTTGCCTTGCACATGTGAGGCACTGGGCTCGATCCTCCCCACCACATACATACATACATATATAAATAAAGATTAAATAAATAAATGAATAATAAAGATTTCATTCTCCCCCACCAAAATACTTTTAAAAAATTTAAAAACTACAAACAGCTGGGAGCCATAGCACACATCTGTAATCTTAGCGATTTGGGAGGCTGAGGTAGGAGGATGCAAATTCAAGGCCAGACTTGGTTTAATTAAAAAGGCAATACCAAGCGCTGCAGATGATGGAAGGAAATGAAGCTCTCATACCCCGCTGATGGGGAAAGCATGATATAACCACTTTGAAAAATAGTTTAGCAGTTCCTAAAAAAAAATTGGCATTAGATGTACCATATAAGCTAGGTATTCCATTCTTCAGTATCTGTTTACCAAGAAAAATAAAAAGCACATATCCACATGAAGACCTGTACACCAGGTATTCCAGGCAGTCCTATCTGCAAATAGACAAAAACTGGATACCACTCAACTTTTTATCAACAAGTATATAAATAAACTATTATATTCATACAATAGAATACTATTCAGCAATAAAAAGCAATAAACTGACCGGTATAGTAGAGTACTCAGAATAGATCTCAAAATAACTATGCTAAATGAAAGAAACCACAAACAAAAGAAACCATACCATATGATTCCATTTATATAAGATTCTAGAAAGTACAAACTTACCTATAGTGATAGAAAGCAGAACAGTGGTTGCCTAAGGGTGGCAGGGAAGATACAAAGGGACATGAAAGAACTTCAATAGGCGATGGATGTAATTATAATTATTATCTTATTGAGGTGATAGTGTACTGGCATACTATACACATGTCAAAACTTATCAAATTGAATCTTTAAAAGGTACTAGTCGTACTTCAGCTATGTTTCCTAATAAACCTATTTTTTTTTTCCCCACAAATGCTGAATTTGACCCAGAAACTTACTGGAATGTCTGTAAGGGTTTAATTAAGCAGGAGAGCTAATTAGTGAGCACTGGTAGGTGTCAGGGGAGGTGCAGGACTGAAGCACAAAGCCCAGGCTTCCACATGCCTCAGGCAAGTGGAGACCGGACAAGAACAAAGTGTACCCTAGGATGCTACTTCTACACCTGGGAAAAATACAGTTAGTGTGGCTAGCTCAGTGCACCTTCAATTCTAATATCCATATGAATCACCTGGGTTCCTGTTAGAATACAGACTGAAATCTCTGGGTCTGCATTACTAACAAGATCCCTGGTACTGTGGGTCCTCTGGGAGTGGTAAGAGCCTGGCAGACAGTGTCTGCCCGCGGTTCACCTCACCCAGGAAGATTAGAGTCACTTTCAAGTGCTCAGGTAACTAATGCCCACACAAATCTGAACATGAGGTGTTTTCTCTGTAGCCTAACCAAATGTTGGGGAAAGAGACAAGCTGAGGAGGTGGGGTTTATAATGGCATGGAAGCAATTTGGCCAAGAGAGCAGGGGACCCAAGGCAAAACAGACCACAGGGTCACACAACAAGACTTGGAGTCTTCTGAACTCTTACACTTGGGTTCTCACTTAAATTAATGAACTACTTCCTGGATCCTCTTCTATCTTTTTGTTTTATTTTGCTATGTTGCCCAGGCTGGCCTTGAACTTTCAATCATCCTGCCTCAGGCTCCTTAGTAGCTAGGATTACAGTTCTAAACCACCATGCCCAGCTCTGGACACTCTCTTTGATTTTTTTTTTTTTTTTTTTTTGGACATTCATTTAGATAAAACAATCATCTGACTCACGGTAAAGAAAGGCTATTTTCTTCACTGATTACAATCATTCCAAAGAAAGTCTACTATACTCCCTTAGGAATCTGAACATGAAAGGATTCTCAAAAGTGTCTTAACTATTCCAAGGAACTGGCCAATACTTTCTTCATGGTGGATCTGTAGAGGCTAAGGAAGGGTCAGTACCACCTATCCCACATGATCTTTCTGCACACACACACCCCCTTCCCAAGAGCAGAGGGCTAGAGACATACTTGGATGGAGGGAGCCTGGCATGGGTGGCCTGCAACCGGTCCTGCTCCCTCCTGTAGTCGCTTCCTCCTCATGGGAAAGTGTGAAGGGACCATGTCATTCTTGGTCTATCTGCATTGCCTCGCAAAGTGCCCAGGGCACAGAAGAGGTCACTGAATGTCAACCACAGACACGGTTGGCTAAAGTAGGACATGGTGTTCTACCTCTCTCAAATACCTGCTTAAGGAAAGGAACACTGGGGGCCAGGGTAGAGCTCAGTAGTAGAGCACCTGCCTAGCATACCAGAAGGCTTTGGGTTCCAACCCCAATACTGCAATAATAATAATAATAATTTAAACAGTGCCACTGGCTTCATGAAACCATGATAGTAAAGAGGTATGAAGGTTTGGATAGGAGCTCAGCTCAATTTTTACGTTGTCCTCTGTGTCTCCTTTCATGTCTCAACTTCTTATGTGTATCTGTCTTAGAAGGTAGTAAGGGCTTTAAAATGAAACACTGCCCATCAGCACTGAGCCCAAGGCTGGGTCACAGTAAGTGCTTAACAAATATCTATCACTACAACAGAATTATAATGGGGAGGGGGTATTGGGAACTAATTCTCAGTACTTTACCACTGAGCTATGTCCTCAGTCCCTTTTATTTTTTGTTTTGAGACAGGGTCTTGTTAAGTTGCTGAGGCTGGTCTTGAACTTGTGATACTCCCACCTCAGCCTCCCCCTAGTCCCTGGTACAACGGGATTACTATTAAACAATGCTATTCATAAGCCACAGCGGAGGTGTGTAACACTGTGGGCCTTTTGTTAATTGGTAAAGGTTCCTCTCAACCAGTCACCAGAGGACTTCCCTAGTGCACTCAGTGTCAAGCTCTTACTGAAGGCACTTCCCTTCTTCCCTTCCCCTGAGGTCTGTTTCCCGTGAGGGATGGGAAGTGGAGACACACCTGGCAACTGAGCTGAGAGGGCAGTTTAAATTCTTTACAATTCTTTTGTGCTGCTATCTGTCAGAAAGCAGAGAATTAGTAGTTTTTTAAAAAAAAAAAAGGCCAGTCATGTAGGCTAGGGAGACTGAGGCAGGAAGATCACTTGAGACCAATCCAGGCAATGCAGTGCTAAGAAAAGAAAGAAAGAAAAAGAAAGAAAGGAAGGAAGGAAGGAAGGAAGGAAGGAAGGAAGGAGGGAAGGAGGGAAGAAAGGAAGGAAGGAAGAAAGACAGCAAAAAAAAAAAAAAAAAAMAAAAAAAACAAAAAAAACCCACAAATACCCCAGAAATAAGAAGAGGCCAAGAGAGCTAAAAAGCTTTATCCATAATGCAATGTGGGTTTTTTTGTTTGTTTGTTTGTTTTTTGTACTGGGGATTGAACCCTGGGGCACTTAATTGCTGAGCCATATCCCCAGCCCTTTCTTTTTCTTTTATTCTCTCTCTCTCTCTCTTCTTTTTTTTTTTTTTTTACTTTGAGCAGGGTCTCACTAAGTTGCTGAGGCTGGCCTCAAACTTGCAATCCTCCTGCCTCAGGCTCCTGAGTTGCTGGGGTTATAGGCATACATCACCATGCCCAGCTTACAATGGGTTTTGAATTGTGGGTTGGTATATAATAAAATCGATCTGGTGAAGTCATGACTAGCATAAGAAAGAGAGAGCAAAGAAGTAAAAACATTAAAGGGAAGAAGAAAGAAAAAAAAGTAGAATAGGAAAACAGTGCATAGTACAAAGTAAATAAATTCAGGAAAGTTTTACTTCATTTCTCTGTTGTATCTATACATTTACATACAAATACATGTGAGCTGYACTACTCTGAAACTGGATTTATAACTATGGGTACTGCTGAAAAGCACTGCCCTAACAAAATCAGAGTTGTCCTTCTTGCTAACTTTTATAGACAAAATTAGATCTGCAATTGTTCACGATAGGTTCTATCACATCAAAATAATTTCAGAGGTTCTGTGGATTATGAGATTATGATGTGGTTTTACCAATACAGAGGATCTGAGTTTGTAATAGCAATAATTAAAATTATAACCACCTTAGGAGTAATTTTAGAAGAGGAATGTTTGCTTTACAAGGGGTACCAATGGTACACTTAAAATAGAATTTCATGCCAGGCACAGTGGCACATATCTGTAATCCCAGAGACCTGGGGGGGTTGGATGCAGGAAGATGGCAGGTTTGAGGCCAATCTAGGCAATTTAGCAAGACCCTGCCTCAAAATTATAAAAAAAAAAAAAATAGTAATGACTGGGATATAGCTCAGTGATGGAGCACCCCTGGGCTCAATTCCCAGTACTGCAAAAAAAGAAGCAGAAACAAAAAATTTAAAATAAATAAAAAAGGATCTTGTGTAGGAAGAGACCTGCCCTAATGACTACCTAACGTGGAAAATACATACTGGTAAAAGTTACTGGGGGACTGGCTGAACTCCAACAACCAATTTATGTTTCTGGACTCCCCTACATTCCCACTCCATGCAGGAGACGAGAGTATATCTGAATTGGAAATCCCCTAATATCCAGCCTTATTAAGACAAATGTTTCCATTTGCACTGAGCATGTTAGAAACACTACTGTCCACATCAACATTTTTGACTAAACTGTTTTAATAAAAAATATTAGAGTCCCAGTAGAGGGCAATGTTCTGCACTTCCAGAAACCTTGGACACACAATTCAACATAAAACACAACACAAGTACCAAAGAGAAGGTTCTGAGATAGCCCCACACTGATGTCCTGTCAACTCAGTGCTCCAATTAATTCCACAAATGCTGCCAAAGCGACGACGGGCTGGCTGCACTTGCTGCCGATGATAAAAATCTCTGCTCAGCTGTCTAGGAGTATCAAGAAATCTTTAAATCTGTGCTACTTGGCACTGGGTGTCTGGTTGACACAGTTCCCAATTCTCCTAGGCTTATCTTCCAACCATATGGGGACTCTGCTGCATAGTGGAGGCTCTGCGATGCCAGCATCGAGCCGGGATCACGATCAGGGTATTTCATGCTACCAGGCGCATCCGTGGACTCACAAGGGAATGCCCACATCTCTCAGCCAGAGAATGGGATGGAAAAGAAAGCTAATATGTTGCAATTCAAGTTAAGTAGAAAGTCAAGGGGAGATTCCAGGTGTTCATGCCCAGCGACATCCCAGGGACTGGGTCACCCCGGAAAGGCTGAATTAGACATCTTCATCAGGCCCTCAGGTCCAAGAGCAGTCACTGAACTCAGTTCAATGACTGATGAGGAGCTAAATGGTGCCCAGAGAGGCAGCAAAGTGGAACACCAAGAAAGCAGCATGCCTTGGGAAGCAGGGCGTCTGGAATTAATGTGCTATCAAGGGCAGGCCAGGAGAAAAGGCAGCAAGAGGGCTGGCACTGTCCTCCTGGCACAACCGCACTGAGAATGATGCTAACCTTTTTCATTTTCAACAGAATTCTCCTCCTCTCCCTTCTAGATGCAGTCAGCATCAGGGCTGGAGGAGGCCTCACCACTGGAGCTGGTGAGCAGCCTCCTGCACCTGGCAGGACTGTGCAAGGCCCAGGCACATGGGAAATGAGCTGGATGCAGTCTCTCCTCTCATGGCCCTTAGCCGCTGGGCGGGCTGTCTTTACCCTGCCAGCAGTGTATGGTGAGGATGAAGAATGTGCTAAGATGCCAAAGAAATAAGAATCTGGGTGGAATGGGGGGTGGGGGAACCCTAAAGCAACAGCAAAAAAGGGAAAAGAGGAAGACTGTGGAATAATACTGCATCTAAGGTTCCTCAGGTGCCTTACAAACTCCCCTCTCTGCTCCCCAGGCCTCAGTGCTCTGTGCACAGCGTGAAATGCAGCGGGGCTGGTGGTGCCAACTTCTCCAAGCCTTGTAAACATGGGAATGGCCACAGTACCTGTCTGCTGTGGTTGCTCTGCACATTCTCAAGAATCCCCAGTTCATCCCACAGTCACTGACTTATGAGGCGTTCAGGGTATTGGCACTGCATGTATGAGCGAGATGGCATCTCTGTTCTCCAATGGAAAACTCGACCACAACAGCATTTTGGGATTAAAAAAACGAGAAAGCAACCAACCAACAAACAAACAAAAAAACACAGAACAGGGCTAACCTCTGCCTGRCACAAAGCTCCTGAACATTGCCTCCACTTCTGTGAACAAAAAGATGATTCCCAATGAAAACGTTGGCTACTCACCTCCCACATCTGCTGCCTTTGGCTATGCAACTCTCATCAGGGGAGGTGCCAAATAAGTCTTCACACAGCCTTTTGTTAGACTTTTTTGAGGGAGGTTTTATTTTCCGTCTGAGTATGGTACTAAATGTCACTCAAAAAACCAGCTGTCAACATTGATAGAAGTAGGAGTGTGGAGCACCTTAGGGTCAGGGCTACCATTCAAATCCTTGCCCCTCTGCCCTCTTGCCCTGGAGTGGAAAAGAGAAAACAGGTGCTCTATGCTCTGACCATGGTGGTGCTCAGGCCTAGGGCATCCTGGAGGGCATCAGATGGCCTTCCTTGACAGTCTCAAGCCAGTTTCGTTCCAATAAATGTGGAAGGTGAATACTGGCCTCAGGGTGGGGATTAGAGATAGGGCTGGGAAAGCAAATAAACATTTGTGAAGGGTGGGGCAGGCCACACCAGGCTCCTCCAGAGCACTTCACCACTCCACAAGAAGCCAGGGAGGTGAGCAGTGCTATCATTCCATACAGTGGAAGCACCTGAGGCCCAGAGGTCACAGAACCAGATGCCCCCTTATCTGACTCCAGAGTCTCTGTTCCCACTGATGTTACCTTGAAGGGGAGATGAATCAGAGAAGGCGACAAGAAGGCCACAGAGCAGAGAGCCAGAGTCTTCCCTCCAGACCCCAGGAGCAAGGGTGCTCCCCTGGCATTCCAGCACTTGGTTTTAACTTACCTATCTCAGTTGACTCATCTGCCTGGAGGACACATTAATTCCTTCCCCACTGCCTTGTAATAGGAATTAAGTAAAAGAAGAAAGGGAACAGGGCTGTACCAACAGAGTTACCGCACCTCCTACCCACTTCTTCTTCTTCTTCTTCTTCTTCTTCTTTTTTTTTTTTTTTGGTGCTGGGGATTGAACCCAGAAACACTTTACAAGTGAGCTATACCCCCAGTCCTTTTTATTTTTTATTTTGAGACAGAGTCTCACCAAGTTGCTGAGGCTGGCCCCAAACTTGAAGTCCTCCTGCCTCAGCCTCCTCAGTTGCTGGGATTACAGGCAAGAGCCACCATGCCTGGCTTCCCACTCTTTCTGATGATCACTCCTTTCAGCCTCCAGGCTTCTTCTGGCTTACCAGGTGCCAAATGTGCCAATAAGGCAGTACATACACCCTGCCTCAGCCCTGCCACCATGTAGAAGAAGGCTCAGAAGATTCAGCGGGACAATGAAAAAGGACTCTTCTATTTGTGTACTATTTTGAAAAATCAACACATATGATAATTTCATGAAAGTTATGGRTTGTTCTAAAGTCCCCAGGGTTCAGAGACTATTGATTTACTGACATATCTCCCTGTACAAACTTCTAAAAAGGAAATACTGCTTTAAACGTTCCACAAGGAGTTTAATAATTTCAAAAGATTTTTATGGGGCTGGGACTATAGCTCAGTGGCAAAGCACTTGCCTAGCATGCGTGGGGCACTGGGTTCGATCCTCAGTACCATGTAAAAATTAACAAATAAAATAAAGGCATTCTGTCTATTTACAACTAAAAACGAAATTWAAAAAAAAAAGATTTTTATGTACAGAACAAGGAAAGATGTCCTTATTTCACATACGCTAAGAGAAATTAATAAAGTGGTAAAACACCCAAATAAAATCTGGGCCTTAACATATCTTTTCCACTCCAAGACGTAAACTGCCTTCTATAGTCAATGCTCTGAAAAGCAACCACACATGATGGAGCACAAGCAGACCCGACAAGTCATAGCAGAAATATTTAAATCCACTCTTGGTTCCCTTTCCCCAAGAATGTCAAAATGCAATGCCTGGGGCTGGGGACATAGCTCAGTCAGTAGCATGCCTGCCTTGCATGCACAAGGCTCTGGGTTCAATTCCCAGCACCAAAAAAAAAAAAAAAAAAGAAAAGAAAAAAAAGCAATGCCTGAAGCTCCTGCCCTCCCAACCCCACTGTCCAAGTACACTATCTGGAACCTTCATGTGACACCAGAAATCTATCTACCATAAACCCAGAGCTCTTCTGAATGGCTTTGTACTGAAGAATTGGACTAAAATGCTAATTATAAAAACACTTCCTTCCCTTTCTGCCCCAAGAATAAGAAGCAGCTCCCTTCTCCATGCTCCCACTGTGACAACAATGAAGAGTAACATTATCTGTACAACACAGCAGTGGGGTTACCCGGGCCACCCACAAAGGCCCACCTGGCCTACACACGGCCAGAACTCCTGGTTGAGAGCTCGCCATTCCTCACCGTGATGAATCAGCCATGGCAATGGGGCGGGCATTCCTTCCCATCCTCTGCACTGTGGTTGCTTCTTCTATCAGCAGATAGAATTTTATTTGTCCACCCTTGAGTCTGGGTTTGGCCATGGCCATGTGACTTACTTTGACCTGCAGGCCCCTTGCAAATGTGATGCAAGCAGAGGTTCCAGAGCTGGCCCTCCCTAGCCCCTAGGAACTCTTTCATCATCCGGTGAACAAGTCCAGACAGGCTTCCCAGAGGGGAAGAATGTGCACAAAGGGAAGCTCCAGTCACCCCCGCCCAGATAGGCCATTCCAGACCACCCCACCCAAACACATCAGGCCAGAAGAACCACCACCAGCTGATCCACAAAATAATATGTTYAAAAAAAAAAAGGCGGTTTTTTTAAATTACTAAATCCTGGGTGGTTTGTTTCACAGCTCAAATAAACTGATACACTCAACATTATCTTCCATTTCCGGAACTCTAGCTTTACTTCAACCTTCTGGTGAGTTTGCAGAATTGAGCATAAGCAGAAATGTAACATGAAAGATAAAAATGGGTTGGTTTTGTTTTGCTTTGTTGATTGAACCTAACACATGAGGAAAATATTTTCAAGTGTTCCTTGAAACTTCCTCCTCCTCAAATTTCTCAACACCATCAGAATAACCTCTGGGATTCTAGCCGAGGCACCCTCATACAAGTGACTAGGTTTAGTAGGTATATGGAAGGTCCCTGTGGCATTATTTGTAAGACTATAAAACTGGAAAACACCTAAATATCAACCATTAGGAAAAAAGATAATAAATCATGATCTAAAATAAAACATATGAAAAAGCAAATGGTTAAATGTTTTTTCAAACAAGCAATCAGGAAGATGAGTTTTTTGTTTTTAACTTTTTTTTTAGTTGTCGATGGACCTTTATTTTGTTTATTTTATATGCAGTGCTGAGAACCCAACCCAGTGCCTCACACATGCTAGGCAAGCGCTCTACCGTTGAGCCGCAACCCTAACCTGGGAGATGAGGGGGTTTTTTGGGTTTTGTTTTTAAATATTAATTTTTAGTTGTAGTTGAACACAAAAATACCTTTATTTTATTTATTTATTTTTATGTGTGTTAAGGATCAAACCCAGGGCTTCGCATGTGCTAGGCGAGCGCTCTACCTCTAAGCCACAACCCAAGCCCTGGGAGCTGAGTTTCAATCCACTAGAAACTGCCATCCAGGCATGAAGCCCTTCCTTAGCTCACAAGTATACAGCAAGGGGCTGGTATAGACAGCCAGAGTCAAGGGTGGGATATTTCTAGTTATTTATTTGTTTAAAAAGGCTCAAAGATATTTTTTAAATGTAACTTTTTTTTTCCTGGGCATTATAGATTTTTTTTAATGTCCCGCTCAATTTTATTACTCACRTAAGTCAAAAATGGAAAACCCAAATGTCCATCAGTTGATGCATGTGTCCACACAACAGACTAATATTATCCAGCCATGAAAAGGAGTAAAGTGGTTTCAGGATTCTGGTTCTGCATGTAAAGAGCTTGGAAGTCTCCACTCTATCCTCACAAGCAAAAAGCTCGATAAAGAAACACAAATCTACAATTTTCCTAGATCCATAAGACAAGTGAAGTCCAGCTGCTGACCCCAAAATGGAGAGAGAGGTGAATGAATACAGAGAACCACAACTGCCCAGACCAGACACCCAACCGTGGAGACCCCCAAGGCAATCAGAGCTGGGCAGGGAAGCCTGATCTGTAAGGATAGGTTGCTGGAGGCTCTGGGTGGACAAGTCCAAGAATTAAAAACTCCAGAGGCCCCAGGCCTCAGAGAGCCTCCATATTTTTATGGCTTTACCTTCAAGAGCTCTACCACATTCTCAGTGTGACTATCTGGGAAAAACTCTCCCAAGCCTTATGGGAGGGTCAGGGAAAACAGAAGCATTCTGAAATACTCCAAGTCATCTGTACTTAAGGAGATGTGCCCTCAGGAGAAACTAACCAGAGCCTACCCTGAAGAAGTTTTATCTGAGACCTTCTGACCTGTAGGGAGGGAGATACCAAGTCCAGCCCACACCAGCCATCCAGTCCCAGCCCAGGGAGGAGCAGAGGAACTCAGGAGAACCAGTGGAGTTTACAGTCCAGAGGCACAGGTCTGCTAAAGGACAGAGACTCAGCCACAGGGTAGCGAACCCCCTCTTCCTTTGCCTCACCACCACCCCCTAAAGGCCTATCACAACAGCTCCTTTGACCCAGTCCATCAGATCTGACTATTAAGAAAAAATATAAAGTATACGAAGACCAAAGCAGAATCACATGATAGAGATGATGGAATGAATTATCACAAAGAATTTAAAACAACTATAATTTGTATGTCAAGGGTTCTAATGGATAAGTAGACAGAATACAAGAACAAAGGAGCAATGTACAGAGAAGCAGAAGTTTGAAGAAAGAACAAAAAAGAAATGCTAGAGAAAAAACAAAGCCCTATAACAGAAATGAATAATGCCTTTGATGGTCTTAGCAGATTGGACATGGCTGAGAAAAGACTCCCTGAGCTTGATGATACCTCAATAGCAAACTTCAAAACTGAAGCAATGAGAAAAAGGATTGGAGAAGAAACAAAACAAACACACACACACACACACACCAAAAAAGAAAGAGAGAGAGAGAGAGAGAGAGAGAGAGAGAAGAGAATCGAATCCAAGAACTGTAGGGCAATACAAAAGATGTGACATACAGGTATGGGAATACCAGGAAGAGAAAAAATGTTTGAAACCATGACAGAATTTCTCCAAATTAATGGCAGACACCTAAACAAAGAT